TGTCAATTGTTGAACTGAAACAGAAAGAAAAGTTCAGGTCAGTTAATGAGGATTGTATTCTTCTTATTTCAAAGCTCCGATATCAGATCTGGGAACGACGACTCTACCTAATCTAGTTCCATTTGAAAATAAAAACTTGGAAAATCACCAGGATAATGTAATTGTCGTGTTAAATAGCCTACCATTAGTCTGGAAGTTGAGAACAATGGTTTTCTTTGGGTTCTGTGAAACCACCACGTTGATGTTCATGTATGGTGGTTGAAAAGTACGAGTGTGCCTGGATTACTGAGATACATATGGACCTGAGTGAAAGTGAAAAAGTTATTACAGCAGCTATCACATCTTTTAGTGCATGAGTCAGCCATACTGGATTTCAAGGTCAGCAATTATTGACTTTCCAAGTTTAAATTTCTAATTTATGTGGCGTTCCAGTTGATTTTTTTTACAACTCAGAGCATGGGCATTCTGATTTCTGAACACAAATGAAACACAAATGACTCCATTTGTACACTTGTGCACCATAAATGTACAGATAACCAGCCTCCACAGCAAATGTATCATACTATAGATAGGAGGTTTTGGACCCAGAATGCAGAGATATATGGAGAGCTTGAAAAAACAAAAACTAACTAACAAAACTTTATTTAAAAAGAAAAAAAAAATTGATATGGCATCAAGCTTACAGAATTTCAGATAGAATACAAGAGTGATGAGGTAATACAACAAAGATATTGGAACAGTGGCAGAACAGTCAAGAAGAGTGAGGTCATATGGGCTGAGGATAATGAGAAGATGAGGGACAGCTGAGCTAAGTGGAACAAAACGCAGGTGAGGGTGGACATGGCGGGACTGACCAAGGGTTCAGAACTGAGGAGTGAACTGATGGCATGAGGAACACAAGGGGAAGTGAAAAAGGAAATGAAAGGCACACATAAAACAAGCACAAGGAATACAAAAAAATATGAATGATGCTACTAATTAAACAAAAAAGACCAACAACAAACACAGATCCTGACAAAATGAAGTGAAACACAGGCCTCATTACTTGCTCAAGTCTAAACTAATTTGGCTTTTGGAGTCATTGCAACTCAAGACGGCCGTCACAACTATCACACTTAGCAAACACAAAAATGGCCATAACTCTCATTTTTACAGATGCTGATCTAAATTTGTGTGTGGGAGTATCTGAGAGTCATTCATAACACATGCTCTGAGTGCTAACAGATAGCGTGCAATCACACATAATTTTGTTTTAAAGAGTTAATCTTTAAAATAACATGATCTTAATTAAAACTGCAATCAAATGTGACAGGTGACATGCATTCCTGTCGACAGATGCTTTCTCCTTTATTTACTACTTATAATTTTATAAAGTTTTTCAATATGAAATTGATCGGCAGTCGTTATAGCGCATTTAAATGTTTCTTAGCTCTCCTGTAGGCTGACTGACTGACAGGCCAAGCATGTTGGGAGAAATGTTCACTATAACGGATGCTCCTAATATTTGTGTTTCTAACTGTGTTTTAGATTAAAGTACTGAAGTGTTTTGTCAATTTTTGACAGCAGCGTGATACTACAGTGAACAAACATCATAACTTTTACATTCCTATTGAATGCTGATGATCAATGGCTCTCATGCCGAGGTGTGTTTTATTCATTCAACTTTTATTTAGACAGGTTAATCCCATTGAGCCTGGGGGACTCATTTACAAGAAAGACCTGTGTGTGACCACAATAACAACAATATTAATGGGGAATATGCCAGGTTATAACAGAAAGTATCCATCAAACTGCTATACAAAACCTTAATGAAGGAAAAACTAAAATTGCCTACTCCAAAACACGAACAGCAAACATTAGATTTGTTATGGAGTGTAATGCTGGCAACTGAATGCACACGAACAGAATTGGTTGAAAATCAAAAATTAAACAAAAGCCAGGCAACAAATAATCTGGCAAACACTACAAGCAAAAATAGCTGGCAGGTAGGAGAGACGAGGATCTGGAAAATAACACTTAACACTCCTCCTACTTCTTCTTCTTTTGGCAAACCATTAAAAATACAAGTATCTATGCAGAATTAGGGGACTGACTGAACCAGTTCCATTGATGGACGAGTAGTGAGGGGCGATCCAACAGAAAGCAGGTGGGGAGACAATAGTTTCTGATGTCAGCTGATGACCTCAGACTGGTTGGTGTGACTGGACGTGAGCTGCTGCAGTGAAGACTGTAATGACCACATAGATCGTTTTCTTCATATGATCATTTTCTCTACAGTTCACATTTTTGGAGGAGCCTATGCAGAAGCATTAAAGCACCCTGATATCAACTCTGTCATTATTCTTCTGTTCTATCCGATTGCTTTAAAAACATCCACACAAAAAGTATATCAACAGCTTTTCAAAAATGTTACACTTGTACATTTTATTAATTTTATTCTCTCAGACATTGGTTTCTCAGACCATACTATTGATTGGTTTTCTAATTACTGGTACCTCTCAGATCGAAGGCAATGTGTTCAACATAATGTTACTTCTTCCAGCTATTTAACTGTCAACAATGGTGTACCACAAGGCTCAATCTTAGGACCCACCCTTTTCACAATCTATATAAGTAATGTAGGTCAGAGCATTCCTGATGCGTCCTTACAGTTCTATGCCGACGACCCAGTGGTTGATTGTCGAGCTAAAACCGTTGCTAAGGTTTTTCAGCTCTTACAGTCTGCATTTAGCAACATCCAGTCAGATTTGTTCTGTCTTAAACTGGTGCTAAATGCTGACAAAACCAAAGGGATGTCGTTTTCAAACTGGAAGTTGGTACCAGCAGTTCTTCCTTCTATCTTATCTATGAATGGTGTTCCTACTGAGTTTGTCGATTCTTGGGAATCGTGGTCGATGCTCATCTCCCTTTTAAGCATCATGTTGAAAACTTGGTAAAGAAACTGAAAGTAAAACTGCGTTTCTTTTTCAGATCTTGTCCAACTCTGAATGCTAGAAAACACCTTGTAACTACTACTTTCCTTTCGTCCATGGACTACAGTGACATTATTTACATGAATGCTCCTGCAAGCACATTGCAGATGTTGGACGTTGTTCTATCACGGTGCGCTAAGATTCATAACTGGCTGTAACTACCGTACCCACCACTGCACCCTGTATTCACTGGTCAATTGGTCATCATTAACTTCACACAGCCTGGTAGATTTTCTTCTTTAAATCACTTCTTGGTCTGCTGCCTTCATACATCTTGCTTCTACATGTCACTTCGTCGTCAGCGCAACTACAGCGTGCGCTCCAAAAACATAATTACCTGCAGTGTCCTCTCAGTGCGGACTGAACTAGGCTGAAGGACCTTCTCCTACTCTGCTCCTGTAACCTATAACTCTTTGCAAAAAGATCTGAAGCTCTCGACTCTGACCTCCATAAGGGATTTATAACAACTCTTAAGTTCAATGCAAAAATCATGTTCCTGTTTTTAGTATTTTACACCGTTTTATAATGTAGCATTTTTTTTATTTTGTTTTATATCACTTATTTTATTTACTTTTAATTTTATATGTTTTTATAAGATTCTTTATTGCTGTGTGTACCTCATCTGTGTCTTTTGTTTAAAACAGGTCTCTCTTGTAAATGAGTCCCCGTGACTCAGTGAGACTAACCTGTATAAATAAAGGTTGAATGAAAAAAAATTGAACTGTAGGCATGTTTGTCTTATTTTTCCCAGATTGTCTCCCACTGCTACAACTGATATTCCTACCAAATCCCCTCGAATGCAGAGTACGCACATTCAAACTCTCATTGATTTCCTTTGTAAATTAGCTCAAGTTAAGGTTTTTAAACTTGCCGTACCTCCTAAATAAAACACTGCATGAACAATTACAATTCTATTTACAAAAACAGTGTATTGGTGCGTAAGAACACTACATT